CACTGTGTTTGGCCCGGGGTGCGGGGGGGGGGGAGCTCTGCAACTTACCTGGCTGCTTCTTGCTCTGACTGAGGGCTGCTGGGAGCAGAGGGGGCTTGTTGCATGTGCCCGCCCCCTGGGCTCTTTACTGCCGGAGCTCCGCTCCTGTGCGCTCCTGCAGGAAATGACCCCTGGTCTAGAGAACTATTTGCTTGTCCCGGCTTGCTCTCTGGATCCAGCCCTCTCCTCCAAGCCATGGCAGGCCTCAAAGGCATTAGTCTCAGCATTAACACTGTCCAGACCTATGAATGAATGAATTAGAAGAAAACAATCACCGAAGCATGTACCATTCGTTGTTATCTCTCTTTCGTTAGCTTCAGAAATCAAATTTACCAGTTCAGGGGGTTACCAGTGGTATGACCCCACACTGTGGCACGCCACGGTCTCCTTGGAAGATCTGGAAAGGGGCAAGTATATGTTCTCTGTGGATGAAGAGCGTGTCCCATGCCAGTACGACGATGTCCTCTTCCAGCCCGAAACATCCTTCTGGGTGAATATCGAGTCGTCCGAGCAGATATGTCTCAGGAGCATTTCCATCATGGGTCAGGTAAAAAATGGTTTGAAACAGAGATGCTGCTTCGCCACTTTCTGTTTTGGGAGTTTTAAAAGAACAACTGTGCTGGTGTGCACACAGAAGCATTGGCACATCTTGGTTAAAGAGAAACAACCTGCCCGTGTTGACAGATTTCACTGACTATATAGCCACGCCGCTGGTTTACAGATTAGTATATAGATACAGCAAAATAAACCAGATGTTGGCCATGCATAATCAAACTTTCCACACATAGCTTGATTTTGTTTGTGTGTCTTCCCCTTGTATGAATGTTGGTTCCAGCAGTCCCCCTCAACAGATGGAGCAGTGGGAGAAACAACGGGCAGATAAAATGGTGATGCAGATGCTGTGATGGCACTTCTGGGAGGTGCTTGCAGTGCACTAGGTACTCCCAAATCTCTATGGTCTTTGCCAGGGCTATTTTTGGGCAGGAACGCACAGGAACGGAGTTCCGGCTTGCTCCCAAGTTGGCCACACCCAGCAGGAACTCATTAGCATAATAGGCCACACCCAACAGCAGAAACTCATTAGGATTGGCTACATTAGGGGTGTGTGGCCTAACATGCAAAGGAGTTCCTGCTACAAAAAAGCCCTGGGTTTTGACAACAAACAAGGTAAACAGAATAACAAGCAAAAGGTGGGTGTGGGTGGATAACCACAGTTCTGGTAACATGGGGGTGCGGCCTAATGTGGTAATGAGCTGTGCTGTCAGGGCTGTGGCCTAATATGCTAATGAGTTTCTGCTGTTGGGTGTGGCCTATTATGCTAATGAGTTCCTGCTGGGCTTTTTCTACAAAAAGAGCCCTGGCTTTGCCATAGAGATGGGGTGTGTGTGTGTGTGCTCATATGAAAGAATTCCTTGAATGTTGCTGATGCCATGATGTCATTTCTGGGTGCTTACTTGTAAGCGACTTCCCAGTGTCAGCAATGCTCCCCTTCCTCAGGCTTTGTCCCTCAGATACTCCCAGGGGTTGCCAGTGCAAGGCTGGCATTGGGAACCCTACTTCAGACACTGGAGGAAAGACCGGTCATATTTGTATGGGATTTGCCAAGTAAAAAGAGCAAGCCAAGGTATTTTGTTGAAAGTTGAAAGAATGTGGCCATTAGACACATGGAAAGGACCTCCAGGGTCATCTAGTCCAACCCCCTGCACAATGCAGGGAATTCACAACTACCTCACCCACACACACCCCTGTGACCCCTGCCCAGAAGATGGCAAAAAACACACCCAACAACCCTCCAGGATCCCTGGCCAAACTAGCTTAGAGAAAATTGCTTCCCGACTTAGAGAAAATTGCTTCCTGGCTTAGAGAAAATTGCTTCCTGACCGCAAACTGGCGATCAGCATTTCCCTGGGCATGTAAGAAAGGGCCACGAGAACTGAGCACTGAGGCAACCCTTCCTGCCCTCCCTCTCATGATCTACCCAGGTCCACAGAATCAGCACTGCTGTCCGATGGCCATCTAGCCTCTGTTTGAAAACCTCCAAAGAAGGAGAGCCCACCACCTCCCGAGGGAGCCTGTGCCACTGAGGAACCACTCTGTCATAGGCTTGCCAAGTCCCCCTGGGGGGCGGGGAAGCCCGTTCCCCGCTGCCGCCGGATCGGGCCCCGGGGGGAACTCCACCCTAACGTGCACGTTACCAGGAAGTGACGCGACCACGGCAGGCACGCTGGGGGCAGGGCCACGGTCATCCGAGGGAAAACTCTATGGTTTTCCCTTGGATGGTAATGGCCCCGCCCCCAGCATGCCCGGCATGGTCACGCCACTTCCTGGTGACGTGGATGCGGTGCGCGTGCGCGCTCCGGGATCGACCCGGGAGTCCCCCGTTTCAGCACGAGGTACGACTTGGCAACCCTAAACTGTCAGGAAGTTCCTCCTAATGCTGAGGTTCCTCCCCTCACCAAGCCCTGCCCTCCCCAGGCTCCACCTCCAAAATCTCCAGGTATTTCCCAACCCAGACCTGGCAACCCTAGAGGGGAGAGACCTCAGTCGTGTATAATGCCACGGAGTCCACCCTGCAAAGCAGCCATTTTCTCCATGGGAGCTGATCTTGGTCGTCTAGACATCAATTGTAATAGCGGGATATCTCCAGGTGCCATCTGGAGGTTGGCAACCCTAGCAGGTACTTTTGGAATTCTGACACACTGTGGTGGGGACTGCCACAAAATGGCTGCCGCAGGAGACAGAGACAGTCACAAAATGGTTGCTGCAGCTTAGCTTCAGTCACACGGTGAAGATCTTTGTGCTGTGGTGGGAGCTGCTGCCAAAGCAACATTTTTTTAAAAATCTGCACAGCCAATCAAATCTCCAATGGCCTATCAGAAGCCTTGCTGGGCAAAAACCCACCTGGCCACATCCACTTTCTAAAAAGCTGGGTGCCTCTGGTCTATGATGTCTCCTGTTCAGGTGATCTGAGGCAGTTTCCTCAACAGCCTGAGTTTGGTATTCCAGGAAACAGCATGGGTGTTAATTAAACCACTCTGATTGTGATTTTTGTTGTGGCTGAGAAAACTGACTTACCGCTAGCCACTCATATCGATTTGTGTTTGTTTTCTGAACTGTAAATTAGAAGTTCACCGACAATGACACTCTGGCAGAATATATGAAGAGCCGTTCCGCAAAGCTGCAGTTCCACGGGCAAGGGGCATTCCGGCTGTCAAACGCCAGATGTCCAGACAAATCCGGCTGTGAATGTGGAAACGCAGCTGTGAGTTTCATCTTTGTTGCCTCTTGAAAGGCACAAGCTTTCTGCCTGCGGCAAATGATGGGTGGGAGACCTCGGAGAGTCAGGTCACCTGTGTAGATCTTTCTCTTCCATGAGTGATCCAGCTCTTCTCATTAAAGGACCGTCACCGAATCTGTGCTGCCTTGCTCCAGAATTCTGGAGGCCAGTGTCCCACGCCTGCATGCAAGAGCCCCCTGAAGCCCACTGGCCACTGTTGTGAAATCTGCGGTAAGTGAAGGGGCTGTTCTATTTATATGTGAGACACAATGAGCCAGAGTTCTGGTGGGGCTAGAGTTCTCCCAGAATTACGACTGAATTTCAGACTACGGAGATCCATTTCTGTGGAGGAAATGGCAGTTTCAGAGGGCAAACTCTATGGTATATCATATAATGTTATATTTAAGTGTCATTGAGTTGCAACCAAATTATGGCAACTCCTCATGGGGTGTTCAAAGCAGGAGATGAGCAGAAGTGCCTTGCCATTGCCATCATAGAATCATAGAGTTGGAAGGGACCTTCAGGGTCATCTAGCCCAAGCCCATGCATGATGCAGGAAATTCACAAATACCTCCCCCACACACACCCAGTGACCCCTGTTCCATGCCCAGAAGATGACCAAAAAACCTCTCCAGGATCCCCAGTCAAACTGGCCTGGAGAAAATTTGTTTTTACCAACCCTGGTTTTCCTTGGTCGTCCCCAGATCCAAATACTAACCATGGCAAACCAAACCATGCTTAGTTTCTGAGCTCTACCGAGCTCAAACTAGTTGAGTATTCAGGCTGCTGGTATATCATACATTTTAGGTGAAATCCCATCCTGAATTCCACCCTCCACTGGCACCTTCCTCAAATCTCCAGAAATTCCCCAGGCCAGAGTTGGCAACCCTAGACATGACAGGGGAGCCAAGTTCACAGGTCCCTTGTGGATAGGATCTGCACCAAATCCCATTGCACTCTGCTTGGCCAACAGGTGTAATTACAGTTCAAATGTATATGCTCAGTTAAGACCTTGTGCAAAACCTTAGTTTATTATAACTGTGGTTAGTGTCTAAAACCAGGGCTTCCCTCCCAGGAAATCACTGAAATCCTGGCTTACCTCAGCAATTGCTGGTTTCAGTGCCTTCTCTCTGTAGTTTGGAAACAAGCCAGGATTAAACCAGGATAAAGCAAAGACGCCTGCACTCATACGTCATGTAGAACTACAATTAAGAATGACTGTTGTTAATAAGAGCAAGAGGCCAGTAGCACCTTAAAGACTAACAACATTTGTGGCAGGGGATGAGACCCTGATGCTGGGAAAAATTGAAGGTCAAAGAAGAAGGGGACGGCAAAGAATGAGATGGTTAGACAGTATTATCAATACAATGAACATGAAATTAAGCAAACTCCAAAGCACAACAGAAGACAGGAGGGCCTGGTGTGATGTGGTCCATGGGGTCGCAAAGAGTCGGACTCGACTGTGCGACTGAACAACAACAACAAAAAATGAGCTTTCATGAGGCACTGTTCATCTCAATCTATTTCCATGTAGTTAATAAAAAATCAAATTCTCTGGTATCTGGTTAATGGTACAACCTACACCTTCTGCTCTATTACCATGTTGGGCTTGTGAAACCGATAGTACAAGACTGGCTTGAAGTGGACATTGTAGAGGAAAGCATGGACACCGCAGCCTCATAAGTCAATAGGGATCTCCAGCAATTCTGCAGGGCCGTGAAGACGGAGCTTTTCCACCGGGCATACCAGTGAGAGCGATGGTATGCCAGCCAAGCCTGCCAACCTGCTAAGACATGTGGAGAAATTTCACATTACCCTTTTTAACCCGTTTTGAAGCCGTTTTT